TAGTTTTGTAAATTTTTAGCCGTCTACTTTTGATCATGCATGTATGCACTCTCCCTTTCACTTCATAACACTGCTCAATAAAACATCAAACACGGGTATAAACTGTGCATTAGATATCTGACCTGCTAAAAATTCTACTTCCAAAACATATTTACTACCCTGATTCATCTTTCTCTCACATAGAACACTTAATATGTGCCTGCTATCTTTCAAAAAAGAACTTTAGTCTTCTCACAGATTTCTTCTTCTTTTGAAAATATCCTTAAGACACAAAGTGGATGCCTGAACTTGTTTGGACCAGCTTCCATCACTCAAATAAAGATGGCATATGCATAATTCCACTATCCTTTATCTCTACCTGACTCCCCTGCCGCCGCCCCCCCCCTCCCAAAAAAAGGGGGAAAGTTTGGAAAGCCATTTAGGAAGAATAATAGAACACAAAGAATTCGGAACAACTCTTTTTCTTCTATTACATTCCCAAAGTAATGTGGAAGAATTCAAAGAAAAATACATTTAAAATCCTGATTCTTTTTGAAATTTAGGCTACACAGAGGGCCCAAATCCCAGGTTTTTCTTAGGGGGGTGGCTACATGCCCTCCTGGGTTGAGCAGAGGTTAACTGGGGAGGGCATCCAGCAGACCCATAGCTCCCCATTTCCCCTCTAAACTTACCAGAGGGTCCTGTCTGCATCCTCAGCCCCCTTGGACTAAGCTTCTGAAACGTCAAAATTATGCATCAGGAGCTTTGGAGAGGGCAGGGGGAAAATCTCTGTTACCCCGGCTAACATCCTACAGATTATAGCCAATGGGCAGGACTGATGTAATGCCTGGAAACTACCACAATGCAGAGAAAAGAAAGGGATGTTAAGTCCCATCTTGAAACATACGATGATAGTGCAAACAGTTGCAGCCAGTTTTGTCCTGGAATTGGCACAACTCCAAGGTTATGGTTTGCTCTGAGTTCTGGGCCAGAATTCGGTGACTCCCAAGACTGGGGGCCCTTCCACATAGCCCTATATCCCAGAATATCAAGGCAGAAAATCCCACAAGATCTGCTTTGAACTGCACTATATGGCAGTGTGGACTACAATAACCCCATTCTAAGCGGATATTGTGGGATTTTCTGCCTTGATATACTGGGATATAGGGCTGTGCAGAAGGACCCTGGGATATAGGCCTCTGTAGAAGGGCCCAGGGTTTTCTTAGACAATGAATCCTCTGATGTAGTTTTGCCAGCTCATTCCACTAAAATATAGCCTACAGAACCTGGTATTTGTTAGTGATATGCCATCAGAGTAATAAGCAGAGCTGTTTCCTAAGCTGACCTAAACACAGGTACTAAAAGTATAAAGGGGGCAAATAAACTGAGATGTTTTATATTTAAAGTTATAATTCAGTAAGGACTGTTAACAAGTGGGACTGAACTTTCCTATGAGTGCAATTACATAGCCTCAAGAGTGCCTCTTAATATTTTGAATAGCACTCTGAGATGTAAAAGGTATTTCCATTGTACCCCATAGGCAAGCACCCACTGTCCAGAACTGATTGTGTTCAGTGGTGGGAACTTGATAAATTGGTGGCAGTACTACAGTTCAATACCAGAAGTGTCCAAGGTAGTATAGATTCAAATATACCGGTAGCTAAAAGAAAAAATTAGGAAATTGAAATAGCAATAACACAACACATAGAAATGTTTACATAAACACTTCTCATGGCTTGAGATACTACAAACAACCATAAAATACTGTTTTTCCATCTACTGTGGCTTTTAGAATATTTCAAGAACTATCCTTGGCACACTTGATGAAAAACTACTATGTGGTAGTGGGTATGATTGCTAAGCTAGAAAGAAGAGTCTTACAAAAAGGCTTTACACATAGCTGACAGCCACATCAAATGTTAAATTTTGGATGTACATCTAAGTGATTTTAAATATATATTTCAAAGTGTAAATGTGCATGAAGTGACGACATGTTTCTAGTGAGGCAGAACTCTTATGAGCACTTGATTTGTATGTATTCATTGCAAAACCTCTTTTATGCTCATGCTTGAAATAGTACTAAACAGATGAAGGAACTATTAGAAAGTTTTAAAAATGGGTTAGGGGTCACACTAATGTTTTA